TTTAAGTTAATATTTATCATTAACAATTTCTCATCCTGCTGCTTCAGTTATGAACATCTTACCCCATTTCTGGAATTGAGTTAAGAACAAGTCTTATCCCATTTCTAGAATTCAGTTATGAACAAGTCTTAGCCCATTCCTAGAATTTGGTTATGAACAAGTCTTAGCCCAGTTCTAGAAAGTGACATTCTACCCTCCTGCAAAAATAATTCATATAAAAACTAATTGATAGCAGTGTGGAAATAAGTTGTTTTTAAGGTGAGTTGAATATGAGTGTATGTTTGTGTTTGTGCATGTTTTAAGATGCGCTTTCTGAGCTGATACTGGTTTTGCCGACATTCATGCTGTAGGAATGTCGATAATAAAAGCATTGTGTTCTTTCTTAATAGTAAAATTGGAGAAGAACAGTCAGCAGAAGATGCAGAAGATGGGCCTCCGGAACTCCTGGTACCTGTTGACTTTCTTACACAAGATGAAATGTCATCTGTGATTGGGTTATTTGTAATTGGTCTGTTTATCTTGAGAATTTGTCAGAACTTCAAGTTCTAGCTTTTTTTTTTTTTTTTTTAGTTAATTTTGTCGTTGAGAATATACACAGCAGAACATCAAGTGCTAGCTTTTAAAGATGATTTCAAAATGGAAGTCTTGAAGAAGGTTATCGTGATTGTGTTTCAACGTTCATTGGAACTAGTAAATTAGAGCCCAGTATGTTTTTAAGAATGTTTCACTTAAAGTAGTTTGAGATATCCTGGAAAATAGTGGGTAGTAGTTTCTCACTGATTTCAACTGTAGTATTTTTGAAGTTTTGGGCAGGGAGGGCGGGAGTATTGATACTAAATTAGCAATACTTAACGCTTTCTAAAAGTATGGGTATTCTTAATGACTGTGATTTTTAAGTTTCCTACCCGGATAATGAATGCTTCATCGATCCGGTTGATGCCAACAATGCCCATCATCTCCCTCCTTTTTCTACCTCAGTTATCTCCACGTGTCCCCCTCCCGGGTTCACCTGATGGTGTCCATCCTCGTCTTTCTGCCTCTCAAGGTCTTTAGGGCCCACTTCAAGTCACTTTTCTATGAAGCATTGCCAGCCTTAGCAGTGGTTTCCTTGTCCTTGCTCTAAATTCAACAGTTGTCTCACCCGTCATTTGGCACGTAATCAGTCATGGCTCTGTAATGTCTGTTTGCTTTAGCTCTTAGGGCTTTACTTAATTGGTTGTATACTGGTGTTTTGTCCACCAGCTTTAAAAGGTAAAGAAGGCTCTTGCGAGTAAGCCCAAGTGTTAACTCTGCTGCTTAAAGAATAAGGTTTCTCAACACACTGCTGTCCTGTACCGATGGCAGCAAAAACCAAAACCTGTTGCCATTGAGTCGATTCCAATTCATTATTCTATACTGGGCGACTTCTTTAAAATCTGTTCTGTGAAGCAGGGTTTCATGGTTTTTAAGTATTTTCCAGATAAGGTGTTGCTACCAGCTATTTTTCCCCAGCTGTTTGACTTCTTTCATTTAGTATAATGTTTTCAGCTCTTTTTTGCTATTGCAGGGAGAGGAGAATGTATTACTTTGTATATTGTGGCTCTGCAACAATATCATGGTCCTCGATAAAATCCACTAGGATTTTGACTCTTCACAGGAGAGCCTGAAATCAAGGGACATTTAAATATCATAAACTCGAGACTAACTCTGACTTTAATTTAGCACTATCTTGTAGCTATGATTCCACTTCTGTATCTATTTCAAGCCAGTGAGATTACCATATTTTCACTTGTGTGCCCCTTAAGGATATTACGAAAAATTGTTTACCCATCTCCTGTTCTTGAGCTGATAAAATTATTAGGTAAAATCGTTACATTGCGTACAATTGGACAAAAGACAGAGTCCATTGTTGAACAAGAGTGAAATCAGACTTTCTGTCACAGAGTGTGACCTTGCAATTTGAAACAATGCATTAACATTGTCCGTGTGACAACTGTTTTTTTGGAATCTTAATCCTAAAGTAAATAAAGCACAGGGCTTTCCCATGAGGTGGTCTCCAGTGAAAGAAAACTCTGCCCTCCTTCCTTCAGTGTTTCTCAGCAGAGCTCTCTTGGCTTCGCCCTCACTGGGACACTGGAGCTCTGCTTTTGGAGCCCCAAGGGCTTTCTCACCCTGGGCCAGTGCACCTTGGATGATTGAGGGTGGGTGACTGAGGACCGGTGAGATGTAGCTTTGCTTTGGTAAAGTGAGAAGGGGGATCTTTGAAAGGGGGGTTAACGAGAGAATTGGAGACGACTCGGGTAGGCTGATTTTAGGAAAGAAGATAACAGCATGACTATCTGGAAATGTGTTACTTTAAAACACTTGTACCTAACTACCTATTAGATGACTCTGTGTTAATGCTTATTGTGTTGGGTATGGAAATGGCATGGTGGTCATGTAGGACAATGTCCTTATGCTTACGGGAAAGCAGGCTGGAGAACTTAGGGGTGAGGTATCCAATTTGCAACTTTGCAGCAGTTCAGCAAGTGCATGTATGTTTGTGTAAGCATAGATGGATAGATAAGAGAAAGCATATGTAGCAAAGTATTAGTATTTGGTGAAACAAGGTGAAGGGTATATGGGTGTTAATTGTACTATTCTATCACCTTTTCTGAAGTTTGGAAATTTTCAAAATAAAAAGTGGTAAGGGGTAGATTACTGATCCTGTACCACCTCTCTCCAAACCACAGGAACAGGATCCCCCAATTGAAAGACCTGTGCTGTAAAAACAAACTTTTTAAATCTTTAATGAATCTAAGTGTCAGATTAACATGACAACATATGAAACTAAGGCTTTTTTGTTGTTCTTACTAACAGTTTATTCATGGAGGACACACCGCCAAGATCTCAGATTTTAGTTGGAACCCCAATGAGCCTTGGGTTATTTGCTCCGTGTCTGAAGATAACATCATGCAAATATGGCAAATGGTGAGCTAAAAAAGTTTTCTTCCTGTAAAGGAGAAATTTTCAAGTATTTAGGTGCATATTGTACCAAGTATGTATAGAAAGGACAGTTGAAACCATCTTGACAATAGTCTTCAGTTCAGTGCTAGGGTTGTCGCCACCATTTTTGTCACCTATAGGTGGAGAGAAATCTCTAGTCTACATGAACACAGAGATGTAGACGCAGCTTCTGCTCCAGTGTTAGTGACTGGCGCGCAGTATTTGTCAAGTGGTGTCTGTACTGTGTCGTGGCCATGAAGGATACCAGAGGAAAATGTCAAGGCAGTCAAATGACACTGAGTTCTCTGGTGATGAGCACCAAGTATTTGACCTTTCAAAGGTCTTTTGTTGCTAACCAACCCTTTTAGCAACATCAGGGCTGTCGCTCCTCCGAATGATGTTTGAAAATGCTTTTGGAAAACTTAAACGATAATTGAAAAAAAGTAGTGCATGTGTAGCTTAGGTATGTATGTGGAATTACACAATTGCAAATAATTTTTTAGAATACTGGCCTACCTTTTCCTCATTCTTGATGTTTGCGGGGGAAACCACAAAATGAAACTGGTAAATAAATCACTCTACAGATGTGCCCGTATTTAATTTCTAATACTGAAACACGTTGATCGATGAATCCGAAGATCTGGTCAGTTATTACATGCTATTTTTAGATGCTTCTGTAAAAAACCATGGGAGTTTTACCTACAAATTTGGTTGTTCTCTCCAGGCTGAAAACATTTACAATGATGAAGAGTCAGATGTCACGGCGTCGGAACTGGAGGGGCAAGGATCTTAAACCCAAAGTCCAAGAGATTTTTCTGTTGAATGGAATGCTCCATGAATGCTTGCCTTATCGAGCGCCAAAAAGGCATTGTATAGTAGGAAACCTGAGTGGGTGGCATGACATTCTTTACCCTTGATTCTAGCACTTTCAAGTGAGCTATTGCGTTCTGTATCATATTGTAGCTAATAGGGAAGAAAGAACGTTGCTTAAGAAAGAGCATCACCTTTGTTTAAAAGTTCAAATAGCAGGGTACTGCCTTTGATTCCACTGTTTAAGTCCTTGTTTTCTCTAAGTGCTTGCTGTTCCCAAATATGCAAGAATAACTTTTACACTTTTTCCCTCCAATACTTCTTGATTGGCTTTGCAGAAATAAAAAGTTTTAAAATAAATTGTCTTATTCTTTTAGGAGCATGCTATTTAACTGTATGTGCATATATCCCATTTCTTGAGTAGAAATGGGTAAAATTTGACTTTGTCCCTAATTTCCTTTTTTCGTAAGTGAGGAGGCTGTTATGCATACACATGGAAATTACATTTCTTTCCAGGGCACTTGACTGTCCTAATCCAAAATGGGGGTGGGCAGGGGGCTAGTTGTCTTGTTTTGGGATTGATTCATAAACCTGCAACTACTTTTCACACAGCATTTGACCCATATCCTCTTTGTGCCTTCTCTTGGGCAGTTTTAAACACTAGCTTTCTCCCCAAGAAGTGAAAGCTTGTTCGCTCCTATAGTGGGGCTCAGCAGAGGGGACATACCAGCCAGCAATTTGGCCCCTTGGCCTGTTTGTGCAGGGCCTGCTAGGTAGGAGTGGTTTGGTTTTCTTATTTTTAAAGGGTCGTTTAACAAAAACACAAATATGCACCACCAACTGCTTTTTATAGGATTATATGTGCTTTGCTTCAGCATAAGCGTTTGCTATATTCAAGTATCCCTCGTTACCCAAATAGGTAGAGCCAGTGTGCTAAGAGGCCAGCTGAGACGGCAGAACGTGGAGTCCCTACAGTTTTCAAAAGCCTTGACAGAAGCTATATTCCGTAATTCTAGAGCCCTCTATTTTAAAGGGGAAAACAGATACAGATAGATTAATAGCGGTCCAGAGATTTCTCCCAACCAACCAGAGGATTGTCGGTTTGTACAATAATTAAGCTGTTTTTTACATTAAAACCTGAGAAAGGAGCTATCTAGAAGTCTTTGGACTTGATTCTTCTCATAGTTAAGGACACGTGGGTAACAAAATACACAGGAGCTGTTAAATTTATCATACATATTTACTTAAGCTATACAGAATTGAGTAGATAAAATCAGATTCACAGTGAAAAATCTCTACAAAATGTCTTTGAAAAGCAAAACAAGACTAACTCAACAATCTGTATCCTCATGAAAGACGTGGGCTGTAAAAATAAAGCACAAACTAGAAGATATCTGCATCATTTGTTTTCACAGTTATTACCATCTACAGTCTGAAAGAGGTAGATTTTTCTGCAACACCTGAGAATTGAATTGTGATAACCAGGTGTAATAAAAAGGCAGTTGCATACATACATAACTAAAAAATACTGGTCTCAAGACCAAGAAATGTATTCCTACAAATCTGAGGATGAAATGGTCCATTATCCAAGACCCAAGTTTGTTCTACACCTTGGAGTCTGCCGCTATAAATAGTACAAATCCAGATTCCATGATGGTGCAACAAATGCAGTTTAAGTGAATTAACATTTAAACCTTTTCTGAGCCAGCCTAGTAGCATTACAGTGTTCTAGAATACGGTAGATACGGGGTGCGCTACAAAGCCACAACACTGGGCTGGTGAGGTGATTGCTTTGGGAGAGTGTCCTCCTCAGAGGGTCCTGTTTTCATTCTTCACAGGGTAATGGGAAGAAAGATTCTGAAAGGAAACCAAATGCATCCCAAAACAGAATCCATGTCCTTTAAACACCATGATAGCGTCTAGCTACAAATACACAGTAAGCCGTAAGCAGCAGGCCAAGTACTGTTAATCACATTTTATAAAGCCCTTGAAAATAAGCAACAGGTCCAAGATTTACAATCGTCCACAGAACAAGTACCACAGAGTGACAGGGTGGGCTACACAACTGGCTGAATAAAATGTTACGAGCTGTACATCTGGCAGAATTCTTGTGAAAAATGATCGTTAGTACTAATTTTAAGGTAGATTCTATTTCTGATATATACCTTCATTAATGAGTCCCATACTTCCTTTAGTAGCTGAAGAGGGCGTTATTTTTAAGAGGCTGTGGGAGGTGTTTTTGTTTTTGCTTCCGCCGCATTTTGACAGTAACCTGCTTTGTGGATTTCTTGTCCTCGCTGTCTGGCCCCTGATGAACATGATGGGTGGTGGAAGCTTAGGTATAATCCTCCACTCCAGGTGAGGTGTGCCATGTATTGGGCAATTTTCAATTCTTTCAGCCCAGTTTAGACATGAATGTGACAGGACCTTACAAAGAGAACTTTAACAAAGAGAAAACCTCTTCAACTGGACAGAAAACAGTTTCATTCCAGTAAGCAATTTAAGAAGTGTCAGTTTGATAGTTTTGCTCAGTGGAATGTCTAGTAGAGCCTTTTTTACAAAAAAAAAAAAAAAGTATTTCAATGCAAATTATACCAGGGACACAAAACTTTCATCAGTGCAGCCTGATTGATTATTTGCATAATTTAGCCACTTTCGACAGTGGGGGAAAGAAAAAAAAGGAACTAATGCAAAAGTTATGTGCTTTAATTTAGCAATTTCCCCATTCCAAGTGCAGAGACTTAATAATACTGTTGTTTTTGTTTTTGTTTTTTTAAATGACAGTAAATAAGAAAGGGGTGAGAAAGACTGAAAGCCTATGTCACAGATCACGACTAACACCCTGCCAAGTTTTCCCAAAGTAAAGATGTTTGTCCCAGTCTTTGTTTTGGAAATGAAATGGGTTTCAGTTAGGATGATACATAATTAAAATTCACTTTTAAAAACCTAGAATGTTTTGCTGGTAGTAACAGCTGAACACCATCTTTCAAGTAACCAGAAGGCAGCAGACGGGCTTTTGCCTGTTGAAAGCTACCCATGAATTTACCCTCGTCTTAAACCGACGTGAACAGCAGTTTTCAGAGAATAATTGGCTTTCTGTGGGAAGTGGAGAATAGTACCCAAATCCCAAATTGACGTCAAATATAGACCAATACCCTCTGCAGTCAGCCTTCAGGTGGTTCAAATCCCACACACCTGTTCTCACCTGAAACATAAACCTGTCTGTCCAGTGATTTGCCTGTATGTACTACTTGGTTTACAAGAGACATCTTCATATACATTCCCTGCCACAAGTTTGAAGGGTTTGAGGCTTGTGGCCATCTCTATTTGTCGAGGGATACATTAACAGAAAGCCCATTTAAATCAAATATGCTTGCTTGCTTCTGATCCAGCACCAGAGTTTTATTTTTACTGGGCATTTAAATGGGCTATTTAGACAAAACTAATCATCTTTATGTTTTCTTTTGTTGAATCATATTAAGGGGGAGCCAGGAAATTTAAGTTTTCACATCAAGGAACCATTATCAGAATAGAGGTCCCTGGTAATGGTGGGCCTTGTCCTGACTGCAATTTTAATTAGGACAATTATGTGCAAGGAGCAGGGAAAAGGACCAGGCAATGAACACATGTGTTCCAGTGAAGGGGAAAATGAGGCAGATGTGTGCACAGCTGAGGAGAAGGTACAGACTCAAAAATGACTTGAAATTGCTAATCCGCCTCCTGTACCACCACATTAAGTCCAGTAGTTCTAAGAAAATACAGATATGGTAGAAAAAGTAAGAAAGTTTTCACCACAAAACCAATAGTTAACTACTAGCAGAGAAAGTTATACACAAAATATATCTCTCGATACAGTGATCACACACTTAGTCAACGGAATCAATGCTTGGAACGGTGCCGGCCCACAGGGTCTCTTGGGCAGCCTCAGGCTCTGCCGCCAGGGGGGCTCTGGGGACGCCGCCGCCGCCGGCCTGACTCGGCTCCTTGTGGGACTCCGGGGCAGTGCAAGGCTGTGACGCCGGCGTCACTAGCTCCACGTCTGCTGCTCGGACCGAGACCTGCTCTTTAAGGACTTCCACCTTCTCGTTGAGCTCATTTCTTTCAGTCTGAAGAGCTCTGCACAGCTTCTCTAACCGTTCCAGTTTTATCTGAAAGGCCTTGTATTCTTTATCTCGGACAGTCTTCTGTAAGAAAAAAAAATACACAAAGAATTTATGTAACCTTTAACAAGGTTATTGTATACAAAATTTAAAAATCTGAGCCATGTTGCTAACTATTTATCACCTCTAGAACATGTTCAATTTTTAAAAACACTTCCAAATATTCTACGCAGCTTCTCTGCATACATATCTAAGTATACCAATTGAGATTTAACATAGTAATACTGTTCTAGGGCAACACAATTAAGTTAGTTCTTTGTCACGTTTCTTAAAAATAACCAAAACCCACTTAGCTTTTTAAAAAACACTTGGTATTGATGAAATATTGAAGAAATTCAAGAGATTAGTCACAAAGACCAGCAGATAAAGTTTTAGAGGCACAATTTTAAAAAAAAAGGAGTCACCTTATTTCGATGTAATTTCTTTTCTACCAATTTTTAGATGAGGACAAACTTGCATAAATGTGCCCCCGCATTTTCTCTTGTGAAATGCTATAAACTAGTTAGTCCTATCAAGTTTCTGAATGTGTGAAATTTAGTGATTGCAAATGGATTACACTTCAGCTTTGTAGTAAGAGGGGCAAAAAGCATTTTGTTGCCTTTTTAAAAAGACTAAGTTGAGGTAGAGAATCAGTTGAGTTCACTGTGTTCTCTCCACTGAGAAGTTTGACTAGTGATTCTCCGGGTGTGAGCCCCGTCTTAACAAACCAGCGTTTGATGCAAGTTTGAGAAACCACTGCGTAGAAAGCAAAACCTAGATGCTTTTCCAGCTGTCTCCCACCCCAGCCTGGGCTAAGGAATTGGGAAGCAAGAAGCTTGAATACCTCACTCAGGACCCTGCACCTACAACCTCACTTTCTGTCAGGAAAGCCTGCAGTTGCCAGAGCCCTCACAAATTCTTTTATCACAATCTTGTCACAAACTCGTTACCCCGATAGGTTCCTGAAGTTAACAAGCCCCCTAAGAATACACCTTATTCATGGAAAACCACCTCACCTCTTCAGCCATTTGCAGAAGCGCTTTATTATTGTTTTCCCATTTGGTACGCCACACTATTGTTTCTTTTTCCAATTTTTTAATTTTCTTTGTCATCTGTGAATCAACACAATTGCAAATTTAAATTCTAAGTTCTATTTCTCACTTCTACATCCTGTCCCACCACAGAACAATAATTTTGTGTGTCCCTCCCGTCCCCTACTAGTGTGGCGTGCCCCACCCAGCTGACAGCTGTAGAGGTCTTTGTAAAAGGAGCTGGGCTGCGGGCGCAGAGCTGATCTCAGAAACTCCTCAGCTGGCGACGATGAGAACCAAAGTGAGGTTCCTATTATGAGAAAACCAAAGTTGATCTCAACTCCGAGGAAGCAGCCCGTGGGGGAAGTCATCAGACACCACGCTCTGCAATGCTTTCAGTTAAGGCTGGAGTACATGCCCTCATTTACAGCGGGGGGAGCAAGAAACAAGACCCCCATCTCCCCAAGTTCTGTGAAAAAATGCCCATGGTTGTGAGTTTTCTGGAGAGATGGTCCATTAAACCAATTCATTACATTCTTGAAAGGAATCTTGGGGATTGCTGGCCCTAGAAAAGATTAAGAATTGGTGTTCTCATAAACCAGAGACTTCATCAGCCTAGAAGAACTATCTAGAAGAACTAGATACTGCCTGGCTACCACCAATGAACGTCCTGACAGGGAACACAACAGAGGGTCCCTGATGGAGCAGTAGAAGGATGGGGTGCAGAACTCAAAATTCTAGCAGGAAGACCAGACTTAATGGTCTGACTGAGACTGAAGCAACCCTGGAAAGCATGGCCCCTGGATTCTGTATCAGCCCAGAACTAAAACAATTTCCAAGGCCAACTCTTCAGACAGGGATTGCACTGGCCTGTGGGACATAAAGTGATACTCATGAGGAGTGTGCCTCTTAGCTCAAGTAGATACAAGAGACTAAATGAAACGGGCAGCTTCTATCTGGAGGTGAGATGGGAAGGCAGAGAGGGTTAGGAGTTGGCTGAACGGACATGGGGAGTCAGGGGTGGAAAGGAGGAGTGCGCTGTCACAGTGTGGGGAGAGCAATTTGAGTCACCTAACAATGTATGGATAAATTTTTGTATAAGAGATTAACTTGAAATGTAAACTTTCACTTAAACTACAACAATAGACAAACAAACAAAGAAAAAGAATTGGTGTTCTACCACAACCTCCAAGCCCACATCAGTTTCAGAACTAGGGGCAGCATAATTTAGGTAAGACTCCAGTGACCAAGAAACAAGGTATTTCATCCTTAGCTGTGGTCATCCTCATAACTCCCAAGGCTGTTTGACTTCGCATTTTGCCGAAGATAAAATGGGTGCAAAAATAAGGGCAACGTTATTCAACCTAGGCTGCAAGAACCCAATTTTCAGAAATTCAGAATAAGCTGTTATCTATGCCCTTCAATCAGCCACGTTTTCAATATTTGTATTCACTGCTGACTGTTCTAAGTGGGGGCACTGAGCCAGGTGCTGTTAAGGGAAACAGAATACAAAGCCAGTACCGTGGGCCCTGGGCGACTACACACACAACTGTAACACAAGGCAAACTGGGACAAAGGCCGTGGGAGAACTCAGGGAAGACCCAGGCTGTGTGCTGACCTACAGTGATCTCTGTAGCCATAAGCAAAGCAGCGCATGTTCCAGTCCAGAAGATTCTCTAGAAGGAGAGCTAATTTGGGAGTCCTTGCCTTAAATTCTGTTCCGCCTCAATAAGCGAGCATGTGCTGGAGTCCAGCTAACACTTCCACCGCCCCTGACACAGGATTGGGGCCTCAACGGAAGGACTGGCAGACAGACGGCCTCTGCTGCTCACTGAATTCTCCAGATTACTGGGTCTAAAAATACCTGAAGGTGGTAATTTGAGCACTTAATATGTGCCAAGCACTGTTTGAAATACTCTATTTTATGAAGAGTAGGTGTTTTCGTTGTCCTCATTTTTAATGACGAAGGAACAGAAAGGCACAGAAAGCTAAACTTCTCCACAGTTATATACATTAAATGATGCAACTGGGCTATTAACCCAGGGACTTTGGCTAAAGAGCACATGCTCTCAGTCACTCCGTAAGAGCTAATAATACTTCTGACTAACATCAACTGAATGCTCACAAAGTGCCAGGCACTACTGTACTTATCACCAGTCACCACCATTTCTAAAATCCCCCATTTAAATAAGTATGGATGGATGGACAGATGGATACAACATTCATTCTGGATGGGGGTGTGTGTGGGTGTGTGGGTGTGTGGGTGTGTGTGTGTAAAATGTATGTTATCAACCAACTAAGATGTGTAATTACTCTTCTGGGCTTGGAGGTTTTTACAGGGGAGTAATTACCTGAAGTGATTAAACAATAAATACAAACAACAAACAAAAAAGGTATCACTTTATTTCTAAGAACAAATTTTATTTCACAGAGGAACTTAACTTCAGTAGAATTTTAAGAGCATGAAGATCATTAGCTACTTAGGGTACATGGAGGGCAAGATGGGCGAAGATGCCAATGGAAGACCAGAGAAGGTAAAATTAAGATAGCATCATAACAACATACACTCGCCCACACAGTAATCATGCTTAAAAGAGTTTCTTACATAAATCCTTTTTTACGTTAATATTCTACTAAAAATAAGCAAGTACCTTTTCCATTTCCTGCCTGAAGGTTGTAAAAAGTTCATTGCTTTTTGCCATGGTAGTCTGGAATTCTTCAAACTTATCCATATAAAGAGAAAGCTACAGGAAAAAGTATTAAATATTCTGAGTTCCAGGTAAGCAATTTAAAATCCCAAAGACGTTCAAAATAACACAATATGCTTAAACATTGTTATAAGTGATAAAAATAACAACAAAAGCATACCCAATCCTTGAACACCACACAAAGATGGCTGAAATACATTTAAACCTCAGAAACACTGCTGACAGAACCATTTTTTGACGCAAGTGTTTAAAGTGCAGACGTTTACTAGCTCCATTCCATCCATTACAATAAAAACTGAAGGACAGCAAGTGGTATAGCTCTAAATTTCATACAACCAGAATATGCTTTATGAACTACCACTCACTTGCATTTAAAAAATTGTCCTTGGAAAAAGATCCTTCTTTTAGAATACCACGTGCACAATTCTTGGCTTGATATCAAGGGTATCTCTTTCCTTAACACAGGCAGGAAAATGAAACAGAAGCCAAAGAATTGGTTTGGTTGGGGGAGAAAGAATTCCATGGGAATATAGTTAAGCGAAAAAGGAACAGTCACCTTTTCCTCAAACCCCTTAGAACAGGAGTTCAGAGAGGTGGGGGAGGCCCAGAAGGCGTGAGAATAGTTTAGGAAAGCTTCATGTGGGTGAAGCCTGGGCTAGGCCTCAGGGTGGGCTGAATTAATGAATTCCACAGCAGAAGGGAACCGTTTAGAGATCGTCTCATGTAATGACATTTTCAGGATGAGGAAACAGAGCCCAGGAAGAATAGTGTTTTGCCCAAGATCACACAATGCACAGAAGAAAAGCAGCGAAGAATAAAAGCTCATCAGAGGCCAAGCAATAGCAGAAACGATGCTTCTCCCTTTCAGCAGTGATGTATTACGAATATTAAACTGGTTACCTGAACAGGACAGAGGGGAACTGAAGGCACCAGGCCCATCCACTGTGGTATCAGGTGTCTGGGCCACACAAGAAGCACATAGAAGCAAGCCCCACCCTATGTGGGAGGAGACAGACGGAAAGCAATGTGGCCTATGATGCTAGGCTGAAGAGAGGACTGACTATAAGCCAGCCAAACAAAGCAAGCCTGCAGGAAGTGAGGGCCCGGGCTAGGATGTGACGCCAGCAGAAACAGAAACTTAGGGGCAAAGAGACTCCTGGCCTGGGGCCTGGCATGATGGTGGTGCTCAGACAGTAGGACCAAGGGGCACAGCTGTAGCAGTTGAGGGAAGTTAGAGGCTATGGCAGTTTTAGCAAGGTGCGTTTGTACTGCAGATGGAACACCCAGGTAGAGACTGCCCCCTCTGAGAGTTCATAAATGGCAAGTTCCATCCCACCTGGACATATGTGCCTGGGTTACCAAACAGTGGGTCACTGTACACCAGTAAGACCATGGGTATCAGTAGCAAATGATGCAAAACGACACGGTAAGAGCAGAGGATGAAACCGACTCAGGAAGGACAGCCGCATTTAAGTAGCAGGAAGAAAAAGAGGTGACAGCAAAGGAAACAAAATAATGATTAGAGGAGGAGACTCCGGATGACGTGGACAACAGTAACAGAAGTTGCACGGAGAACAGCACAACAGAACCTGAGGTGGACTGTAAGTTTGATAAAAGACTCTTCTGGAGCTATTAAAGAACATCTTCCAAAGCCATATACAGACTATGTATTCCTTCTCCACACTAATTCTCTTCTCCATTTGGATGGTGAACTGAATTTACAGAGCTAATAAGGGGTTCACATTTTCTAGAAGCATTCTAGCAAGATCATAACTTAGGTGGAAAGTTCAAAAGATTTCTGATATTTGACTCCTCTTGAATTCTTACTGTAAGTTAGGCTGGCTTTATAGAAAATTACCACCACCACCTTATAAACACTCCCAGAGACAATAGCACTCAAAGGGGTGATCATGAAGACCACGCCAGTCTCGATGTTGTCAGTGTGTTTTATTTAGTCCTTACAGTAAAGGAACTTATTATATAATCAACTCTTTAAATAAGTAGTATTTTTTTCAACAGAATGTATGTCCAATGGTTAATGCACCCATAACCCATTGCCATCAAGTCGATTCCAACTCGTAGCGACCCTGTAGGACAGAGTAGAACTGCCCCATGGGGTTTCCAAGGCTGTAATCTTTAAGGAAGCAGACTGCCACATCTTTCTCCTGCGGAGCGGCTGGTGGGTTTGAGCTGCCGACGGTTCGGTTAGCAGTCAGGCACTTAACCACTGTGCCACTAGGGCTCCTTGAACGTAATCTAGTTAACTGGAAAGCAATGAGCTCTAGAGACAAAAGCCTAAGCTCGCCTGTCTGTAAGGATGGGGAGGCCTAGTCTTTTCTGTACCTTTTCCTACGTGAGGAGACAGCATCTGCTCCTCTTACTCCACACAAGGCAACTATATAGAGAGTGAAACAGGACAAACCTAAAAGGTCTAGTTTGAAAAGCAGGGAGGGCTCCAATTAAAAAAGCACAATTAAACGCAGCTCCACCTGGGAGTAGAATGGGGGTGGGGGTGGGAATTTGCCATTTTTTAGATAGGTTACGTGCTCAGAGCACAAAATTTTAAAGATATTAGGTTACACTGTATGAAATATGCCATTTTCATAGGTCAAAGAAGCCAAATACCAGCAATTTCATATGGCTCAGGTTTAACATAAAAGCACTAAAACCTGAAGATTTATCAGTTTCTCCTTAGTTGGAAATTAGCTGACAACCAACTTACATGTGGAAACAGACTGAGAAAGGGAAGGGATATCCGGGCTGATGGAAAGGGGTCACTGAAGAGGAGGGTGACCAACGTCCTGGCTTGCCTGTGATGGAGGGGGTTCCTGGGACACAGGACTTTCAATGCTAAAACCTAGAAAGTCCTGGGCAAACTGGGACAAGCTGGTCTCCCTAAAGGAAGAGACTTCAAGAGGGACATGGAGTCTACTCCTGGTTCTGGCCGGCTCTGGCCAGGAATTAAGATACCCAGCAAACATACCAAACAGGATCCTTAGAAATTCTACTACCCCCCAATGTTAAGTTACCTGCTGTTTTAGTTGTACTTCTTGCTGTTTCATTTGTTCGTATTTGTGCCTCGATTCAGTTGCTTCTTTTAATAACTAGAAAACAGAAACATTCTGGCAAAATACTAATAGTAATTACAAAATGTGACTATGTCAAATGGCCATAGAGTTAGGCTCAATCCTCACTGTTTTAGCAAGAATTACTGCTCTATGGATGAAATATCCTGTGACATCAACTGTCAATCACCTAGATCTTTGATCTGCTCCACTTGTTAAGCACTTGGGAAGGGAGGAATCATCTTTTACTGCTTAAGGAGGGAAAAGTACCCTGGAAGCTTATAAGGTTACAAAACTCAGGGTTAAATTAAGTGAGAACAATCAGATGTCTAGTTTTATTAGCAGAAAACATAGCTGGGAATCTGGACATTATCTAGATGGTTTAGAAGGCTCTCTACTCCATAAGAGGCAAGATGAGGAGGCTGAAAGGGCACGGGGCAAAGCAACCAAAAGAGATCCGGTTTCTGATCACTTTAAGAAAGCAGGGAGCAGGAGGGAGAGCTTTAATTCATATACCTGGGTTTTCAAGAAAAGTATATAGGGAAGTTGCACAGTAGGCAGCTGTGAAATTCAGTCCCTGAAGTGAGAAGTCATAGTCCAAATTAGCCTTGAAAAGTCCTTAAACCAACCAGAAAGTGTAGACATGTAACACGTGTGTGTATATATATGCTGTGTATATAATTTCTACTCCAACGTTGGACATGGCAACCGTTTCTTCAGTTGAGCACTGGGTACCATTGTCAGCTGGCACAGAAGGCCCATGCCATGGAAAGCATCTCTCTCTAAACCCTAGACCTATATATACTCAGCAAGAGATGTTCTCCTCATGAGGCTCACTCAGGACCTGTCTTCCTTACCATGCTCCCCAAATAGCCTAGGTTACTTGAGTGAAATGCTGGATGGAAGAGTCCACATTATCATCATCATGTCTCACTTTTATTATTTTGTTGGTTAAGCACATAGAGTTGAATCTGCACGTGTTAAGTATACATACCCAGTGAGATTCCACTGTGTTGACAACTGACAGGCAATAAAATCTGAGCATATACTCTGGAAATAATGCGGAGTGATTAAGGCACAGAGAATTCTGTTAAAATTTTATCAGGAAATCATACCAGAGTAAGTAAATGAAATCTTTTACCTAGTTTCAAGTTACTTGTTTCAAAGCAAAATGTAACAGTATATGGAGACCAGTGTAGGGTATGCTCCATGTTAATTTAATTGCCCCTAGCTCTCAAGGTCTAACTTGCCAAATAACTGGCACAATTCCTGAACCTGGCCACCATTACCAAAGGAGTGAAACAAACATTCTCAGCACAGAAAACCAAGCACGTGCAGATCTTTCCACTAACATGGTCTAATATTCCAGTGCATTTTTAAAAATAAACTATGAGAAATACAAAGCTGAACTTCTTCTTACACACACTCCTCAATCTAGAGCAGAACACCAAGTGCCCCAGGTGCTCCATTAAATACAAAGTTTAAATGTTTTCGATAGCTTTGGTTACAATTTTGACAACAATTTCTTTTTTCAGAAACAGAACTTACAAACTCTCTCTCTCTCTGATGTTTTTCATCAGCTTCTTTTATGAGCTGTGTTGTCTGCTGAAGTTTGGCATCCACGAGCTGTTGCTGCAGTTCCTTATGTTTGAACACTTTATCAATATGCTACGGGAAAAGGAAAATGTCTTCCGTCACTTAGCGAATAAAGGAACTCTATGTGGAAGGGATATAACACAAGTTACAATACCTTGCTTGCCCTGCTTTTCCTGCCTATACCACCAGAGCCACAAACACTGGGCCCTTCTGTCCGTATGCTTGCACAAGAGTCTGCTCCACATCTCCTTGCAACCATGTTGCCCTGCAGGGCCTATCCTGTGGGAGGCGGACTATCCTCATCAATAGCCTCAGCAGCCACCACCTTTTTATTTCCTATTTCTGACCTACATTGAAAATAAGATTCAAACTGGATCAAGAAAAAGACAAATAAGGAGCTCTAACTATTAAACCCACTCATCCTACACGTAATTCCTGAATATTTTTCTCCCCATTAAATTTTCCAACATTTCTTAGCTGGAGGCAGCATGATACAATGGTAGGAACGGGCCAGGGTCAAATGCACCTTGCTTAATCTCAGTTCCCCGTCTGCCAAGGGGGACGCCCACACGTACCTTGCAGAGTTATAAAACTATGGAAGGTGATTGGTGCCTGGCACACACTGGGCATTTGGTAAGAGGTCATTATTATTTCCAAACTGAATTGCTAAGTGGTTATTTATGTACCATAAAGTAATCAGAACATAACTTTTCAAATGGAGAAATACTAACTCCTCTAGTTGTAATACTCTATATATGAGGAAGAAATACTAGTTGATAATAAGGTAATCTAAGTATTGAGAATAGATGATCTGTCTTTACCTGCATCTGATCATTATTATATTCTGACCAAAGAAAGAATGTTCTAGAATATTCCAAGTAAACAACTTACAAATAATATGATTTGAACATGTTATCATTTCCAAATTTGCTACATCGATGATGAGATAGACTGTCATATTAAACAACAAAACTAAAAGAATCATTTTAAGGAACTTGCAGCTTTTATAATAAAAAGAAAGTTCATTATACAGGACAAAAAAGTTTCTTTAGTAAAAACGCACTGCAAGAATTAAAAAAATAAGAGAGAGAGAAGGAAACCTATGTTAGAGACCCGAAACATATCAATCAGTGAAACGTATGGACCTTATTTGGATCTTGATTAAAACAAGTTTTAAACACAGACAACAGAGAAATTTGAACAGTGACTAGATATTTAATTTAAATAATTAAAGTTTTTAGATGTGAAATGGCATTGTGGGTATGCTTCAAAAAGAATCCTTATCTTTTTGAGATACACACACTCCAACACTCCAATATTTAGGAATGGAATAATACAACATCTTGGATTTACTTCAGAACAATCTGGGGGAGGTGATGGGAATACAGATGAGGCTAGAGTTGCTATGCTCTGATAACTGCTAAAGCCAGGTGATGCACTCTCTCTACTTTTATTTCAACTTGCAATTTTCCATTAAAAAAAAAAAAAAAAAGGTAAAGGCAAAGAGAATGATTAAAAAAAAAAATCTTTAAAAAACCTTAACAGTTTTCAAACGGTCGTATGTAAAACTAAAGCTAATCTAAAGTTTGAACTGAAAACTGAATAACCCACAGAGATGCCACAATTTTTTTTTTTTAATCAGCTATTTTAATCTGTTTATGGACGGAGCACAATGCACACAAAAGCACATTTTACCAGCTTTAAAGGCAGGGGACGCACCATTTATAAAACTCAAAGCCTCTAACACCGCCCAGTGGACCTCTAAAAGTGAGGAACTTCAAAAAGCAAATTATCACCTATTTGTTTTTAATTTAGAAGCCATCTCTGAAGTTCCAGACTAGCTTGTAAAGTAACTATAAAAGTCTTGGTTGGAGGCCAATCACCAAGTTCAGCAGCCATGGATCCTCCCAGTAAACTTTACTTCAATGGATAAAGGATCTTCCAGTATCACATGGAAGACAAGTGGTACTTGACATGTTTACTGGAAATCCCCTCATTTATCCAAACCCACCAACAGCTAGGCCAGAAACTGGCTCCTCTGCTCATTTGGTGCCTGGGCCTTTTCTTGCCTGATGCCACTGTGCATATACCCCAGTTCTAAATACCCTGTGACCACTGAGTAATGAGTAATGAATGGGAAAAAGGTTTTGCTAATAATGGTAGCTGTCTAAATAAACAAACAAAATGTCTTTACCTCTTCCCTCAGGGCATACTGTTCAATGAGCTTCTTCAGCTTCTCCCCCAACTCAATGTTTTCCTGGCGGAGTTTGGCATTATGTACATCATGCTGTTCCAGCTGGACCTGAATTTCATTTAATGTAATTTGGAAATGTGCCGTGGCTTCTTTACGTCTTTCTTCTTCCTCTCGTGCTTGCTGCATATTTTCTTCCTTATCATTCAAAATAATGTCCGTTAATAGTATAAACCTATAGATGAGATGCTCACCAAGACAGTTCTGCTCTGTGGGGTCATTTACTGCTGCCCTGACATGTTCATTTCTGACTACAATCCCTCCTCCTAGTTTATGACCAGAAAGCTCCCTGTTTAAAACAAGCACCTTCTCCTAAGACTAAGGAATACTCAGAGAGGTGTAAGGCGCCCTGCTAGAAAATAAGTGTTCGCTGACTATCCAATACTCCATTAGACGGAAATCAAAGAGGCTTCTCCCTCCACATGATTTCCCCAAGCACCCTCCTCACTGGCCAGGCAGGACATCATCTTGGATCAACCTGAAGTGATGTAACCCCATTGGTGCTTACTTTCTGGGTCACATCTTCCATTCCCTAGAGGGAAGGGGACAAACGGATTCCTTATTTTAAAAAGCTTACTGTCACACCTATGTTCATTGCTGCTTTATTTACAATAGCAAATAAATGGACACAAGCAAAGTGCCCATCAACAGATGAACAGATAAGCAAACTGTGGTACATACATACAATGGAATATTGCACAACCATAAAGAACAATGATGAGTCCTCAAAACATAACACGGACGGACCTGGAGGGCATAATACTAAGTGAAATAAGTCAAGCATATAAGGACAAATATTGTATGATCCCTCTTTTATAAGAAGAAGAGATAAATACAGAGTGACCAATGGTCACTGGTGGTTATCAGAGAGAGGAGGGGGGGTGGGGAAAGTGTGCTTTATACCACAGAGACTAGCTATTTTTCGTGATGTGGAAAGTGGCACCGAACGTGGACCTGGTGAGCACAGCACAACCAAAGTAAAAACGAGTGTTTGAGCACGTATGAATGGATATAGGCAATTTGGTATACCAGTAAGTACAGGTGAGAACAGAGAGAAGTATCTATACCAAAAACCCACTGCTGTCGATAATTCTGACTCATAGCAACCCTACAGGACAGAGTAGAAGTGCCCTACAGAGCTTCCAAGGCTGTAAATCTTTATGGAAGCAAAGTGCTACATCTTTCTCCCATGGAGCAGCTGGTGGGTTTGAACCACAGACCTTCTGGTACCCAGCAGAGCACTTTAACCACTGTGCCGCCAGGGTGCCTTAAAAGTATCTACAGGTACGTACGTATGTGGATGCAGTCACATACATTCACTGAAGACACAAACACAGATACTCCTCAGACATGACCAAACACCTTCCAACACTGGTTTTCTGGGTTTGAAGGCTTAGGATCATAGTCTCATGGGACAACTCAGTCAACTTGGCATAACATAGTTCACAAAAATCATGATCTTCATTCCAAGGAAGTCAGAAGCATCTCGGGTCTTAAAGCTTTTCAGCGGCCATCCAAGGCACAACTACGGATCTCTACTGGCTAGGAGAAAAACAGTAAGAAGGTAACCAAAAGTACAGAGAAGAAACAAGTCTACACAAGCCACGACCTTATCTATGCTGAGATCAGAAGAAATAGATGGTGCCCAGCTACCACCACTGACCGTTCTGACCAGGGTCACAATAGCTGATCCCGGACAGAATGGAAGAAAAATACGGAGAACTCAAATTTAAAAAAAAAAAAAAAAGCCAGACAAACTAGAAAAGTAGAGAACAGAGGACTCCTTGAGACTATCGCCCTCAGACACTCTTTAAACCTAGAACCGAGTCTACTACCTTTTAGTGAAATAGCAGAGTGACACACAAAATAAAGGATATTGCCCCTAACATTGGTGCCCTAATTAAAAACCATCAGTATGAGACCAAAAGGTCAACAACTTCTCAAAAGCAAAGATGAGAAGATAAGGCAGCAGGGAAACTACAGTACTGGAAAGGGAACAAACTGAACACAATTAAAGAGAATACTGACACATTGTGATAAATGTGATCAACGTCTCTGAACAATTTGTGTGGAAACTGTCAAATGGGGACCTAACTTGCTGTGTAAACTTTAACCAAAAACTCAATAAAACATCATTAAAAAAAAAAAAAAAAAAAACTTACTTTCAACTCTTACTAAGATACAAGTGTCAAAGACCTTTTCCCTCTAGACAGTTATCAGTCCAATCAAAACGTTAATCTGCTATGGAAAAAAATACTAGCTTCTTTCATTCATATCTAAATTCAAGGTTTCAAAAGCAAAGAAAAAGTAGCTCCTCAGAGCAGCTGAGGGTCCATTTCCTAGTGGTCCTATACTCTAGGGCCCTGGGGGTTTGCTGCTGGGGAATGGGCATTTGACCAGCGAGCCCAACTGCACAGCTTCTTAGCCACACCATGGGACAAGCCTGATCCCGTTATAGGAAGGAAGCAGAGGCTCTCCAGTCTCTGTTCTTCGTCCTTCTTTCCCTGTGGACAACCAACGAATCTCTTGGTACCTGCTCCCTCTTCCTTTCCGATCAGTCAAGGTTTAAGTGCTTATTCTCAAAGTACTGAGCAACTGAAGAGTGGGGAAGGGCAGGGGGAGTTTGGCAACCCAGCCAGTTCACACAAGAGCTCAGCAACCTGTTTTCCCTTCTCAAATTCACTCTGACTCAGGTCTGTTGCTACGAGTCTCTCATTTCCACTCAGCTTTTCATGCTTTATCTGAGGGAGGCATGGTAACCAAGTATGTCAGCAGTCAGCAGAAAGCCAGCACTCGGTGCTGCCTAAGCCAGGGCTCTCAGCAGGAGCGCTGTGGACATAAACATCAAGCTCATCTAGATCCCTGTGATCAAGTCTGCGGGCCATTAACGAGTTCTTCCTTGCCTGCAAAACCACAACTTACGTACCAAGAGGAGGTCTCCCACATGGCATCAGCACATAGCAGACAGAAAGCCAGGCACTCTGTCCCCCATGGGGCCCCAGAGTCCTCCTCTCAGGAACCTACACTGCCAGCACAGATGTCCCAAGGATTTATTAGACGTACCAGGGATTTATCGACCAGCAGCCATCATCACAGCTAATTCCCATTAAAGCAGGTGGAGACAAGGACTGATTTCAAATAGATATGAGGTGATTATAAAACCAGCTAAGTAATTACCTTGTGAAAAAACAGAAAAACGAACCAACTAACCGTTTTGTTTTTTTTCTTAAATTGTGGTAAATACATATGTAACAAAACATTTGCCATTTCAACATTCTTCACAAGTACAGTTCAATGGCATTAACTGTGTTCATCACACTGTGGAAAACCAACCAACCTTTAATGTCTTATTGTGACGCTGAAGTTCCCTGCAAAGAGACTCGAGTTTGCTTCTTGCCAAGATGGCCTTGCTGTGTTCACTCTGCAAATGAACTTTCTCTTTCACGATCTGGGCTTGCTTCTTCTGCAGAATCTTCATTTGCTTCTGAACGTTCCTGCTCTCCTCCAGCTAGAACAAACCAGCACTTTACACTTAGGGGACACAGGAAGAATCTCTGAGTTACAGCTGGAAGAATGACGAGTACAAAATTTCAAAGAGCCCAATACCATAGTGTGATATTTTATTTAAATTGTTTCATGCCATTGCTGCTCCGCCACCCTTTTCTGCTCCTGTTTTCTAGTTGAGATGGGAAAGCAGGCAAATAAGGTAGGGGGAAAAAATCTCCATCTCTTATTTTAAGAAAAACAAAAACTAGTATTTTAGAAAAACGTTTTAAGAATCAACACCATCTAAAAACACACAAAGGCTGCTGAAACAGTCATCAAAAGTATCTATTTTCTCAATAAAAACAAACACTGATATTTTAGAAAACAGTTTAGGAATCAACACCATCTAAAAACACACAAAGGCTACTCTGCTGAAGCACTCACCAAAATGGGAACTCAATCAACTCAGGGTTCTCTGTGAGGGAGGAACTGCTGCAATTTTACATTTGCAGAAATTAGTCTATTTCAAGGTTAAATCAAGACTAACAGATAAGATGGCAGCCTTACCGACCTTTCAATAAAGCTTTTCCTGGAGAAGGAAAGGATGATGAGTCACACTATCAGGAGCAAGAGTGACATCTTGTGGCCTATTAAAACATACCAAGCATCCTCATAGGCAATCTGCTTACAGCTATTAAAAACACCGTTATTGACCTGGGGTGGAAAAGGAGGAGTGTGCTATCACATTATAGGGACTGCAACTAATGTCCCATAACAATATGTATATAAATTTTTGTATGAGAAATTAACTTGAGCTGTAAACTTTCACCTAAAGCACAATTTAAAAAAAAACAAAACAAACCATTACTGAAATCCCTGCAGGAAAGCGTAACTTTGCTTTTGTATAATTTTGTGAAGTAATTTTGCTTTTGTATCTTACTCTGGACTGTGAGCTGCCACACAGTGAATATGGGCTGCAGGTTCTGCATATACTACCTGTGACTTCCCGCCAGCTCTGTGATGCCACCTCTTTCCCACTCCAAGTAAAATACACCTCAGCGTGAGTCAAAATGGCATCATGGGGAAAACCCAAACGCTGCCTATTTTAATTGTACTCTTTCTTGGTTGTGTTGCTACATTACCGGTGTGGCAGCTCAGACTGTCCCATTGCACTGACGGTGATGTTACACTACGCTGAACCTTACTAGGTACTAGGCAGCCAGCTCACCACTAACGATACAAAAGTGAAAAAGAGTCCCAGAAGATGGGTGGAGATGCAACTCATTTGTAGATTTGCTGGTAGGACGCTGACATGCTTTTCTTTCCTCTCCTCTAAGAAATATGGGGCGTGGTCATTTGCTAAAAGGAGAGAGGTGAAGAGGTAGAGAGAAGTTGAGCATTATAATTAAAGGTATGTAACAGGCAACTGCAGAGGGGGTGACTAGTCCGGATAGACTCACAGCAACTGATCTAAAAAAACCTATTAAGATCATCACCCAGCACTGAAGGCCTGGTTGCACTTTTATCTGCCTGGTTGCATTCTTTCAATGCTCAGATTTGGGATTCTGCCAGGCAGGTGGAGTGGATGATCAGAGGGGTAAGGAGATATTTGCAAAGAGGGTGATTCTGATGATGTGTGAAGTCTAAGGAAAGAACAGAAAAGCCATACAGACAGGGAGAAAGTAGAGGGTCGTGCACAGGTGGGGGTCCTTGAGCAAGGACGCTGGACTGAAGGTGGTTACAGACCAAATGGGCTGTGCTAGAGACTCTGCAGCCCTATGGGCCATGGGGTGATCACAGTGGGTAGCCTGGGTGGTACCGTGATGAGGCATGCAAGGAACAAGAGGCCAGACTGGCCACAGTGAAGAAGCAACCTAGACTGAAAGAAAGCAAGAGTTTGAGCAAAGAGGACCAAGGCAAGACAGGGACAAAAGTCTGCAGTGTGTGAAAGCTGGTAAATGACAAGAAGAAGGGAGAAAAGGTAGGACAGCTGGATGTACCTTGATTTTTAAGAAACATGGGGTTTTTGTGGTTTTAAAGCAGAGAAATAGGAAGGGTACCAAACTCACCTCCCAGCCTTGACATACACGGAGCAAAAAAGGACCAAAAAGGAATTTAAGGTCCAGGGGGAGAGCCAGCTTTCAGTAAACACAAAAAAGTTAGGCACTAATCACAGAAATGGCTGTAGATTTTGCAGTTTGCATTTCTTGGGGAAGAATGTCAAAGAACACCATGGAAGCTTTTCTGTTCTGTTTTGGTGGGGGGTTGCTTTCCAGACAATGTCCATCTTCAGAGCCCCAACCCCCACAGCGCTTGGTACCACGGCTTACACTGTGGCCAGGAGGCATGGTAGATGCTGGTCTCTAAAGAAGAGTAGGGGGCAAGTCGGAGCCTAAAAGTCTACCATGGCCTGGTGCAGAGGCTCAGCGACCAAATTTCTCACAGACAACTGGTGTTGGCAGCTGTGGTAAGGATGGGCAGGAGGCAGCCTGAAGCGTTTTAATTAAGTCCGCAGGCACTCTGCAAGGCTTCAGACATCTCGGACACACAACCAGTGTTCCCAACGGGGGAGGGCCCTCATATCTCGGCTCCTAAAGGCACTCAGAGAAGGTTAAAATCCCAAGGGCACTTCTGCCATTTAAACATCTGCCCAGGGGGAAGAGGACTGGAGAAACTGGAAGAGATTGGGATACGGCAACTCAAGGGACTGTCTACCTCTTTTCTTTCTCTCTTTTGGAGGGGAGCAGGTAGGTAGGCTTGAGATTTTGAAACATGGCTTTTGAGTCAACGAAGTAAAATAACTTTTTTTTTTTTTTTTTGCTGTACTAAAAAGTACAAAACAGCATCCCAAAGGGAAAGGAGACAAAGGAAATTAAGATAATTGACAGTTGCAGAAATATGTACAAACCAAGACTTAAGACAAAGTAACTGGCCCAAGGTCACACAGGTATCTGACAGCCAAGCCAAGATGCAAACCCAAAGCCATGGGCCAGCTCCACTGCTCAGCACACAGTTTTAAGTCCAGCATGGGAGGGGTGTGTCAAGACCCTCACTCACACGGTGCCTTCTGGAAAGCAATTTTTCAATATGCATCAATGACCTTTAAAATGTTTTTCTCCTCTGCCTAGTAGTTAAATGCTTATTTTCATTAGAAATGAGGGCTTTGAAGAATTATTGTTGATGTGAGAAAAAGGCTCACAAATAATTTTGTGAGGGAAAATACTAAATTATATATACAAAAAGATTCCCAATCTGTACAAAATACACAAATCTATAAGTTACCTATATACACAAGACAATTTTACATACTCAGAACAGTTTCCCTCTGGGTGATGGGCTATATGGGTAATTTCTCTCTTTATTCTGGATCTCAGCTGCACAGAATTGGATTCATCACAACCCTTGGTTCATGACACAATCACTGGTCTATGCAAGGCCTCGTTTATTTATTTACTACCCAATACAAAACCTGCCAACACGGACAATGACTTAAATCTACCCAAGTCCCCCTGTATTCTCTGACTTAAGGTAACCACATCCTCAATCCTGTCTTCATCACTCCACTGCTTTCCTTTCCAGGTGATTTCATTTCATCAATGTGGAGTCCTAAGAAAAGATTTTCTGGTTTCAATTTTTTGAACTTTATTGTGGCTAGTATGATTGAGGAACTAATTTTTTAATGTAAATGCCACGTGGGGCTAGTGGCTACCGTTTTGGACAGGAGAACTCTAGATTATATTGCTAAGTCATTTATATCCTTGCATGTCGCTATAGATAAGGAGTCAGCAAACTTTTCTGTAAAGGGCCAGAAGGTAAATATTTAGGCTCTGAGGACCACATACAGTCTCTCTCTCTCATACTGTTCTTTTTTATTTTTATAAACAACCGTTTTAAAAATATAAAAATCACTCTTGGTTTCTGAGCAGTATAAAAACAGGCATCAGCCAGATTTGGTCCACAGGCTGTATATTCCGCTTTTTAAAAAGAAAACAAAATGTTGTTAGGTCCCGTCCAGTCGATTTTCAGCTCATTAGCGACCCCGTGTGTTACAGAGTAAAACTGCCACACTGGGTTTTCCTGGCTGTAATCTTTACAGAGGCAGATCTGGCCACTAGGTGGGTTTGAAATACCAACCTTTCAGTTAGCAGCCCAGCGCTTAACCGCTGCGCCATCAGAGCTCCTTAAAAACAGTAAAATATACCCCCTTTATTTATCTGGAAACCTGGTGGTGCAGTGGTTAAGAGCTATGGCTACTAACCAAAAGGTCAGCAGTTCAAATTCACCAGCCACTCCTTGGAAATCCTATGGGACAGTTCTACTCTGTCCTATAGCGTCACCATGAGTCGGAATCAACTTGATGGCAACAGGTTTTTTTAACCTATTCTCTTGCCTTTTTTTTTTCGGAGGGGTGGGGGGGTGGTTTATTTATTTATCTGTTCTCTTGTCAATGGGGATATGGGCTGTTTCCAGGTTTTGTCATTACTCACAGTGACATGAACTTTCTTGTGTACATGTGCAAGTATTTCTCTTGGGTGCAAATCTAGAAGTGGGATTTCCAAATGTTCAATTTTACTTGATAATGCCGAACTATTTTCCAGAGTGGCGGGCAAATGTATACTCCCAACAGCAATGTAGAAGACATCATGTGACTCCACATCTTCTCCAACACTTAGTATGGTCAGAATTCTTCACTTCTGTCACTAGAGTGGGAACAAAGTGGCATCTCACTGTGGTCTTGATTTCTACTTCCCTGATCACCAATCAAGTTGAACCTCTCTTTGTCTACATGTTTAATAGCCTTATGTTTCTTCACTTCTTTGAAATGCCTCTTCATGTCTCTTGCCCAGGTTCCCACTGGTTTATTTGTCCTTTTTGTATTCATTTGTAGGTGTTCTCTAATACAGTCTTTTTTTTCCTACATACATTCTCGATACTGAGTCTTTTGTTGGTTCTATGTGTTGCAAGTATGTTCTCCGTAGTTTGTAATGTCTTACTTTCTTTCAAGGTGTCTTTTGTCAAATAGAAATTCTCAATTTCAATAGCCAATTTTTGCAATCTTTGACAGTGATTTTTGTGTCATAAAAAATCCTCCCTTAACCCAAAGTTGGAAAGATACTCACCTTAATCATAAAATTTAAAAAATGTAAAGTTTAATTTTGGCCATTTAAATCCATCACCCATTTGGAATTGATCATTGTGTATGGTGTCTAAGGATCCAATGTCATTTTTCCCATATTGATAACCACTTTTTAAGCTCCATTAATATCATAAGGATGCCCATTTCCCCCAAATTCATCACAGATGCCATGAAATGCTAATCAAAATCCTAAACAGTGTTTTTTTCTTTCCCATTAAGTTGATTCTAAAATTGTATACCGAGAATAAAGGGCCAAGAATAGCCAAGATAACTGTGACAATAAGAGTAAGGAAGGTGTGCCTACACTACAAGATATCAAGATGTATTAATATGCTATAATCATTTAGACAACGTGACTAAGGAATGAAAAATAGCACTATAAAGTACCTAAAAAACAATAAACTTGCCGGTGAGTCAATTCTGACTCATAACAACTCTACAGCACAGAGGAGAACTGCCCCGTGGGGGCTTACAGGGCTGTAATCTTTAAGGAAGCAGACTGCCACATCTTCCTCCTAAGTTGTCGCTGGTGGGTTCAAACCATCCACGTTTTGGTTGGCAGCTGAGCACTTAACCACTTAGCAACCATGTTAAAGGCCGAATGTTATTCACACCTAGAAGGGGAAATGCTCCAATTTCATGAATGCGGCGACCACCACAAGGTCTCCCCAAAAAGACCAGCAACAACCTAGATCACAGCGCCCAAGACTGCAGTCCACCCAATCACCAGACCACCTACACTAGTGATGTGGCCGAGTGCGACAATGAAGGCAGAGGACAGTGATGACCACAGGGAAGCGTTCTGAATAATCCTTGGAGATCTCACTGCTACATAACCTAGGCACTCTACTTTTTAATGCAATGAGTCATGTTTCAAGAAATAAAGCTGTCGGACATCTTCTGAAAACAGTATATATTCAATATCCATATATTCAATGTAAATAATTACTGATCTCCAAAAGGATAAAACTAAATCAAAGGGAGGTTACTCACTAGGCAAGTTGTTAATGCGTCACTTCCTAAAACAAATGCATTTCTGCATTTGCATTCATTCATGACTGCATACTAGTGCTTAACAATAACCATGTTGTTGTTGTTGTTGTTAGGTGCCCTGGAGGGGGTTTCAACTCATACCAACCCTATTTACAACAGAACAAAACACTGCCCGGTCCAGGGCCATCTTCAAAACCGTTGCTGTGTTTAAGCCCATCTTTGTAGCCACTGTGTCAATCTATCTCATTGAGGGTCTTCCTCTTTTTGGCTGACCCTCTACTTTACCAAACATGATGTCCTTCTCCAGGGACTAGTCCCTCTTGATAACATGTCCAAAGCACATGACTTGAGGAAGTCTCCCCATCCTCGCTTCTAAGGAGCATTCTGGCTGTACTACTTCCAAGACAGATTACCATATCTACACAAAAACCAAACCAAACAAACAAAAACACCCCAGGCTGCCAGCATCATCATTATCACCTGGGAGCCCATTAGAAATGCAGAATCTAAGGCCCCACCCCAAACCTGCTGAATCAGAATCTGCATCTGAATCAGAATGTTAACAAAAGTGCCAAGGATATGTCAGAGTTTGAGAAGGACTGCCTTAGCTATTCCTGGCTGCCTGCTGTTGTCACATCCGGCAGCTAACCTTATCCTTTTTTTGTTCAGGTCCTTTTCCTGTCTCTTCTCACATGACTCTCCTCAGGTGAATGGCACCAACAGGGGCTGGCTTCCATGGACAATGGAAGCATTCCTTTCCTGAAACCAGCAATCTACCACACTGTGTTTTCTGCACCCTTTGGTTTGTTAATGTTCTAGACCATTTTCATGGATGCACAGGGTTTCCTGCTACTCAGCTACAGAAGGTGCCAGACTGATGAATGCCAGCTAAGTGGGGTCACACAGGGAACACTTATTAAACTGAGGGGATGTTACTGTCAGTTTTCCAATAAGAAACAGAATTCATTTCTTAAGGCTGATCACTGGTGAAATAACAATGTTTCTGAAACGGAACAACTGCTTTCCCAACAGATGAAAATACATAAAGACTGTCAATGATAATTCACCTGAGTGTTTCACAAAAGGCAATCATTTTAGCATTTACATTACAGCCAAAACAAAACAAAACCAGCTGCCATCCAATCGATTCTGACTCACAGAGATCCTGACTCACAGGGACCCTACAGGACAGAGTAGAACTGCCCTACAGGGTTTCCAAGGCTGTAAATCTTTACTGAAGCAGGCTGCCACATCTTTCTCCCACGGAGTGACTGATGGGTTCAAACCGCCAACCTTTTGGTTAGCAGCGTAGAGCTTAACCTTGGGGCCACCGGGGTTCCTTGCTAGCACATAGCAGATGCTAAATAAGTATTTCCTGCAACGTGGTATTACTTTACTAAACTATTTCATCTAACACAACTTCAATCAAAATGGTTATCTCTAGAATTCCCTCGGGAAAAGTGAAACCAGGAACCACTAGATACCAACTGACTGGCATCAAAAAGTATCATAACATAGGAATGCAGATGCTGCTGTACAATACTCTAAGGCAGTCTGAGTTGTAGGGACTCTAGGCCACATCTTACAGAACATTAGAATATTCTACGTACATCACCTCATAAAGTGATGCAATCAACAACAAAAAGTCCAAGAAGTCAGACTCTTCCCATCAATTCTGGAATAAAATATAATTTTACATTTAAAGCTATAGCAAAATTACAGTTTGAAAAGCTTGTCAAGCACACACACATTTTGCTCTATTTTATATGGGCCTTGCTCCCTTGATTAAATACTCACAAGATCAGCATATTTCTTACAGAGAGCTGCCAGCTTCTCCTCTGGAGTCGAAAGGGTGTTTAGGGCTTGCATCAATAATAAAACTTCTTTTCCTGATGATCAACAAATAAGAAATAAGTCCCGGAAGAGCAATGAGATCAAATCTAACCTGTAAACTCTATATAACATTTCCCACGTTCTGACACTTAGAGTAAAATAATTTACTCTGATAACTAGAAATAGAGATTTACCTGGTAAATTAAGAAAATCAGTTTTTAAATTCTGGATTAGCAGGTACTCCTCCCTCCTAAGCTCAATTTCTTCACTCACTCACTGATACTTAACTATAAGAACACTTGGTGGAGGTTTAAAAATTCCCCTTGCCTAACCACTGATATCCAAGTTAAAACATTTGACAAAGGGAGAGAATATTTTAAAAATCTTCTTCCTAACCAAGTACAAATAGAGAAGCAAAAGGAGTCAGTTAGTACTTTCTGCCTAAGATGCACATAATTCCTTATTAACACATCTTTTAGTATGAAAACTTTACATAACTTATGATTGTTTTCTGATGATTTACGGAAAGACCTTAAAGACAGTATTTTAAGAAATCTGGCAGGGAGAAGCAAGTGGCTGAGATAGGAGGGGACAAACGATGTTTCAAAATATGTGATAATGTTTTATTTCTGAATCTCGGAGGTAAGTACCTTTTTTATTTTTTAAAATGTTCACTCATATGTAAGATATTCATAAAATATGAACAGAATATGTACAGAACCATACAAGTCAAATGCTGTAAATCTTAGATACAACAGATATAAAAAGCGGGAAAGGCAACCAGCAAGGCTAAAATAAAAGAGCTCAGATTTTACATTCTTAGTCCTAAATCTAGCAGAAGTGAGAAAACATACCCATGAAAATTAGCCTTAATCTACTTTTTAAACTACAGATAATACTGAGTCATTTTCTGACTAATTTTTAAATAAAACTGAGCAAATAAACAGCTTTCACATAATTTTTGGTCAGGCTACTTTAAAGATGCAAACAAGGTGAGTCAAATACTACTTGTGTCAAATTGGCCCCAAATTTCTTCAAAAAAGCCAGTTCTTGACTATTCTCAGAAGTAACTAAAGCTTCCTACTCTGCTGTTTTCACCTCCTGAACATAAAATGTAGCACACAGGCAGTGTGACCCAACCAAAGACAATAGGCGTCTTGGCTCAGCAACATCTACCTCAAAACTGGTCATGTTCTACAATCGTCTGTGCTGCTGAAAATACAAGGAAAACAAGCAGTATGTGAAAACGCCCCACCACTGAGCAAAGGCTCTTACCTAACGTTTTTTCCTTGTTCCTGTTGCACTCTGAATCTTGCTGCCCATCAGGGGGATCGGTTCGAGCTTCTTGCCCAGGAGTTTCCTCTCTGGACTCTTGTGTGCAGTACGCTGGGCTCACCAAATTCCTGTTATTTGTTATAAAGGCGCTGCCTTCGTCTTCTTCCAGTGAATGTTTGTTACTTGTGACATCACAATTGGAGTCTTGATGTTGAAGAATATCATTTGCTTGAGAGTTGCACAACATGTCTGCTTTCACCCCTAACCCACAAATTCCAGCTTCTTCCATTGTGCCGATTACAAACTACAAGGAAGGGGGAAGAGAAAAAAGATGGAGGAAGTGGTTAAGTCAAATGTAATCCATGTTTACAATCAATGGCACATCACAGTTAGCTTTTTTTTCTTAGTGGTTTGTGAAATTGCTGTAAATATGATTTCTAAGTCTCACTGAGAGGTGACAGTAAAGTACGAGGAAATTAAAGTCAACACACAAATGAGCAGTACTAAAAAGGACGCAGGAAATGTGGTCACTGGTTGTAAATCTCAACTTATTTCCATATAAAGACTCACTACTTACAATAATCAGCAGCTTAACAGAAAGTCAAGTGTTCCGGGTTAACATTAAGAATTCTGATCTTATTATCCTCAAGGAACTGGTAGAGGAGAGGTAGCTAGTTAGCCACCAAAAAGCCAACCTCCCCCAATATCCACTGGAATTGGGCCCGGTGGACTAGGACATTTCCCAGCCCCTCTACAGCTAGGTGGGCCTCCCATACGATGTTCCCACCAATGGACTGGGATAGAAGTGATGACTGTCCCTCATCGCTAGCCGAAAGGCTGGCAGTTCGAACCCACCCAGAGGCCTTAAAGGCACACCTGATATTCTGCTTCTCATAGGTCAGAGCTCTGAAAAACCCTATGGTGCAGTTCTACTCTGCACACCTAGGGTCGCCATAGTCGGAATCAACTCAATAGCAACTAACAACAATCCCTGCCCTAACTAATATAGACAGTAGGCATGGGAAAAATGGCTTTATTCTAGAATCAATCATTTTACGTTACTGTTCATTATACTGTTGATCCTATTTATTTATGTGGTTTCCCCCTCTTAACACTTGGTCATAAGATGTGGCACAAATTTTAATTTTCTACATTTCCTCTCTGTAGGAGAGAGGCCTTCTTTTTTTTATATGTATGTACATAGCAATTTTAACCTTCTGTCTTTCAACATTTTCTAATACCTATGGTGAAGCAAGCATGGTATCAGGAGTTGTTATTGTTGTTAGGTGCCGTCGAGTCGCTTCCAACTCATAGCGACCCTATAGGACAGAGTGGCCTTCTTTTTTTTAATGACTATTTTTTAGAAGCAATTTTAGTCTACAAAAAAATCAAGCAGAAAGTACAGGGTTTGCATACATGCCTCGCCCACAGTTTCCCCTATTACTAGCATCTTGCATTAGTGTGGTATATTTGTTACAATCAATGGGCAGATACTGATATATAATTATTAACTGAAGTCCCTAGGGTTCACTCTTTGTGTTCTACAGCCATGGGTTTTGGCAAATGTGTAAGTCATGTACTCACAACTTTTGAATAAAATTGAGGGGAAAAATATCTAATAGCCTTCTCTTATATCACTAGTGGACAAAGCTACTTTCAAAAGTTAATGGCATTTATATGAAGTATTTAGAAAAGACAAATGTATAGAGACCAAAGATTATTAGTGGTCACCAGGGGTGGGAGAAAGGGGAAGAGAGAATCATTGCTTATGGGACAGAGTTTCTGTTTAAGGTGAGGAAAAAATGGATAGTGGTGATGGTTGCACAATGATGAAAGTGACTAATGTCACTGAATTATACATGTAAAAAATGTTGAAACAGCAAATGCTTTGTTATATATATTTTTACCACACACATACAAAAAAGTTAATGGGAAAGCAGAGATTACTTTAAATTACAACCGTATCCAACTGAAGAACTAAAAATAATTTAAACTATCAAAGTAGGAGGGGATGCAGAGAGGATGGAGAGGTTAATGGAACTAAATACTTATCTTTTATAACTTAAAACTGGTAAATCAAGTAAGCTTTTGGAAAACTAAATTGGTACAACCACTTTGAGAAACTCTTTGGCAACATGGATACCTTCTAACCCTGTAATTCTACTGCTAGGATTTTACCCAACAGACACGTGTACATATGTGCACCCAAAGGCCAAAAATTCGTAATAACCCCCGAATGCAACCAACCCACATTTCCCTATCAACAGCAGAATGGATAAATGATGGTATATTCATACCATACAGCAATGAGAATGAACTATTGCTAGATGCGACATGGATGAATCTCACAGACATAATGTTGTGAGCAAGGTTTCAGAAAACTACATAATATCCATCTAAGATACTCCACTGGTCTCACCCCTTCGGGAGCAAGGGAGAATGAAGAGAACAGGATACAAGGAAAAGATTAGTCCAAAGGACTAATGGAC